CTACATTTAGTTTATGGTTACAAACACAGCTATTTTACTGTTACTGGTACTGCCCATGTAGATAGCTAAGGCCGATGTAGTTGCAAAAAATAAAAAATAAAAAAATAATGACTTAATGTAGCTTTAGTCAGAAGGAAAGCAGAATCCCTTACATTGGAGTCTCTTTAATTGCTTTCATCCCAAGTCCTGTGGCTATGGAAACTCTGTTGCCTCCTTAGCATCACCCACATGTTGTCTACTGTTCCTTTTCTCTAAAACCAAAAGGGCACACACACACATCTTTGTCCTGTAGTGCCAACTGTGGGATGCATTCCCTCATGTAGATGAAATTTCTCAAGAACACAAGTTTTATCTTGAGGCTGGAGAGATGGATCCCTAATTAAGACCATTTCTTAGTTCAGTTTTTGGCACCCACATCAGGCAAGCTTGTTATTGTCTATATCTCTTTCTCCAGAAGTAGCCAAAGTCTTTGTCCTCTGAAGGACATTCCTATTCCTACACCTCATGACACATGCACATTATTAAAAGTAATAAAAAGTAGTCTTAAAATATTTTTGTTGATGTTTCATTCATCTTAAGGGCTTGCATTTAGAAGCCTAACAATCCAACATATGCCTTTGCTTTACAGTTTTCTTATTTCAAATAAGACATATATTGATTTAAATTAATAATAATATCCGCTAAATATAATCACTGTAGGTGTCATGTCATGTTCTGTCCCTTGCTGCTGAAGCTCTCCTATACTTCTGGGTTATCATGAGCTGAACAGCGCTGATCCATCACACTTTTCCCTCCACAATGGGCTGAATACTCCAATACTGTAAGTCAGTATTGTATCAGGCATTCTGTTTATGCGATAGGACAAATAACTGACACAGATATAGCATAGGGTGATAGGGGAGTTCCCTATATGCTGGAACAAAGAGAACATCTTCAACAAATGGTGCTGGCATAACTGGATGCGGACATGTGGAAGACTACAGATAGACCCAAGCAGTCCAAATGGATCAAAGACCTCAACATAAACACAGCCACAATGAACCTATTGAAAGATAAAGTGGGAAATACCCTTGAATTAATCGGTACAGGAGACCGCTTCCTGAACATAACACCAGTAGCACAAACACTGAGATCAACAATTGATAAATGGGACCTCCTGAAACTGAGAAGCTTCTGTAAGGCAAAGGACACAGTCAGCAAGACAAAACAGCAGCCAACAGACTGGGAAAACATATTCACCAACCCCACATCTGACAGAGGGCTGATCTCCAAAATATACAAAGAACTCAAGAAGCTAGTCTCCCAAACACCAAACAATCCAATTAAAAAGATGGGTACAGAACTAAATAGACAATTCTCAATAGAAGAATCTAAAATGGCTGAAAGACACATAAGAAAATGTTCAACATCCTTAGCCATCAGGAAAATGCAAATCAAAACAACTCTGAGATACCATCTTACTCCTGTCAGAATGGCTAAAATCAAAAACACCAATGACAGTTTATGCTGGA